GACTGGAACCCGAAAATCGATTGTCGTCCACTATCTTCCTGGAACCCCTCTCCTCACCCTTTGTTGGCGTGAGTTCTTTCAGCTTCTGCAATGTTACTGTAGCATTTCCTCAGAACTAATCGTATATCCGCAAATTCGTAAAAGGAAATTCGGATTTTTTCGGAAATTGCAAATAAATTACTACTACACATAATATAATATATTAGTGTCTTTACCTACAAACAAGTTAGTGCATTTGTAGTCTCCGTATTATCTACTCTTATCGAGCAACTTCTCGAATTCGGTTAATTAACTTCTGCACAATTTGTAACGGTGTTCAGTAATCCATTGGTTTAATGTGTCCTTGTGGCGTGCGTTTCTTACATGCAATGCTCTGAGTGCCCCTGAAAGGCTCTTCTGCAATGATGTCCAATACTTGTTCCTCTGTGTCTGGAACACGAACATCAATTGTCGTTCACTATCTTCCTGGAGCCAATCTCTCGTATCTCTAGCCCTTTGTTGGCGTAAGTGCTTACCGCTTCTGCAATGTTACTGTGGCATTTCTCCAGAACTAATCTAATAATTGTAGAAGAGAACTTTTTGGAGATCAAAAATTTTCGTAATTTGAAGCAAAGGTCGTAATTTTTCTTTTTGAACGCTTTAGTATTCCATTATACTTCCAATTAAACATGGAACACTTTTAAAATAATGCTTAATAACAAAGTTGAAATTCTATTTTTAACTCACATTTAGGAATGTTTTCCGGGCTTTGAAGCCGTGGTCTATGGGAATTTCTTCCTGACGTTTCGTCCACAACTGCGGTGGACATTATCAAAGGCGATGAGGCAGTGGGCGAAGTGATCTCCCGTGCTTTCCGACTATGACTGCTGGATTCCCTGTCGTATTTATGCAGCCCAGCCGTGTGTTCTCATGTGTGGGGGATGGGTGGGGGTTCAAATGCTTCGGCGCACACGCTGTTTGGCGCAAAACGTGCTTCCAATCTGGATTGAGTGCCGTAATTTCTTCTTTTCTGTTAAGGTTGTTTTGGTGTTTAAATATTTCGATGGCCTCCCTGGTGAGTATCGGGTAGTATCTTTGAGATTGGTGCAGAATGTCCACTTTGTCGAAGCGTATTTGGTGGCCGTCTAGCAGTCTTCGTGCTCCGCTACTGCTGATTTTTCTGTTTGTCCCAATCTGCAACTTTGTTTGTGCTCTGTGATTCTAGTGTTTATGCTTCGTTTTGTAGTGCCGATGTATGCTCTTCCACAGCTGCACGGAACTCTGTAGACTCCTGGTGCTGATAAAGGATCCCGTTTGTTAAGATCCATAAACCGGATGTACCACTGAGACCCATTGCGAGCGCCATTGGAAGTCCGACCTACAATATTGCAAAATATCTAGCTAAAATATTACAGCCAAAAATTGGAAAAACGGACTGCTCTATAAAGGACTCATCCCATTTTGTTCAGAGGTTGCACTCACTGTCGTTGTCGCCCGGGGAAATCCTTGTGAGTTTTGATGTGGTTTCATTGTTCACAATGGTATCAATCAGGGAGGCAATGGAACTTGTTGCCAGAGAATTTCCACCAGACATCGCGAAACTCTTCGAACACTGTCTAACCACAATCTACTTTCAGTGGAACAGCGAATTCTTTGAGCAGACGGATGGAGTAGCAATGGGCAGCCCTCTTAGTCCAGTGATAGCCAACTATTTTATGGAAAAATTTGAGAGGAACGCTCTGGACACAGCCGTGAGGAAACCTAAGTGTTGGTTTCTCTATGTTGATGACACTTTTGTTGTTTGGGGCCATGGTCTGACTGAACTTGAAGACTTCCTGAGGCACTTCAACTCAATAAACCCTAAAATTCAATTCACTATGGAAGTGGAGAAGGATGGGCGACTGCCTTTTTTGGATGTCTTGGTGACCAGATAAACCAACGGAAATCTGGCCCACACGGTGTACAGAAAACCGACACATACCGACCGGTACCTGCACAGTGGTTCAAACCATCATCCCAGTCAGAAAAATGGAGTCATGAAAACTCTCACCGAAGAGCCAGAAGAATCTGCGAACCAGCCGAGCTGGAGAGAGAATTAAAACACCTGGAAAGGGCCTTTGGTTGGAATTGATACACATGGAGTATGGAATGGATACACATGGAGTTGGAATGGAGCACAAACGAAGTTGCAGATTGGGACAAACAGAAAAATCAGCAGTAGCGGAGCACGCACTGCTAGACGGCCACCAAATACGCTTCGACAAAGTGGACATTCTGCACCAATCTGCAAGATACTACCCGAGACTCACCAGAGAGGACATCGAAATATTTAAACACCAAAACAACTTTAACAGAAAAGAAGAAATTACGGCAGTCAATCCAGATTGAAAGCGCGTTTTGCGCCAAACAGCGTGTGCGCCGAAGCATTTCAAGCCCCACCCATCCTCCACGCATGAGCACACACGGCTGGGCTGCATAAATACGACGGAAACCCAGCAGTTGACCCAGTTATCCCCCATGGAGTCCCTAGAGGACCAGGACTAGCTGTAAGTTAGCTTAGGTAGCAAGAGAGGTTGTATTAGACTTAGGTCTAAACTTAGGGGTAATGTGCCCACATTAGGTTAAGGTAGATTAAGTCAGGGATGTCAGCTTGCACAAAGTGTAAAACACTCTATAGATGTTAGAATTAAGTACTCGTAGAAAGTTAGCAATAAGAAATTTGTAAAAAATTTGTCTGAAATAAATAACGTCCAAGTTGAACCAGTCTTAGTCGGAAAGCACGGGAGATTACTTCGCCCACTGCCTCATCGCCTTTAATGTCCACCACAGTTGTGGACAAAACGTCAGGAAGAAATTCCCATAGACCACGGCTTCAAAGCCCGGAAAACATTTCTAAATGTGATTTAACCGGCCGTGAAAGCCTTTATAGTCTATTTTTAACTGTTAATATCTTCTAGAAATTATCGAAAAAAAAATGTAAATATTTTTCTCGAATCCTCCAAGTGAGCCCTTATTGCCCCTTAAAACGAATGTATTGTATTATTAAATATGGAGTCATTTGAAAAAAGCAAATTTTTTTTATGCTTAAGTATTCCAATATGCTACCACTTAAACACGCGACCATTTCAAAATAATGCTTAATAGCAAAGGTGAAATTCGATTTTCAACTGCCAATATATTTTAGAAATTAGAGAAAAAAAAATTTCAGTATTTTTCTGGTACTCTCCAAGTCACTCCGTATTACTCCTTAAAAGGGCGTTAAAAGGGCGACGCCAATTTTGAATCACGCTGTATATGCGCATCAATGTACAACACCTTATGGCCTTTCATCAAATGTGTATGTGTCATCTGTATAATAAATTAAATACTTAATAAAAAATTGTATACGTTTATTGTCGAAGAATGATATGTTTAAATTAATATTTTTGCGCTCATTCGTGCAACCCAATCGACTTCTCAATGTTCGTGGAAAATTAAGCAACATTCTGTAATAAAAAATGAAAATTATAATCGATTTTTATTGAGAAATTTGACTTTAAATGGATCCGACGCGGTTTTACTGTGAATCAATGATATTTCATCCTCGGTTATCTTAAAGGTCCTATATGCTCTTTACATAAGTTGAAGTTGTTAATAAAGGTTACTTTAAAAAGATAATTTTGCTGTTGTTCTGCGTGGTTTGAATAGAACTAATAGGCAAGTTTATAAACGAATAGTTCCTCTGGTTAACGATCACTCAGAAACAAATTCTTACAGTTTAAATGCAAATCACATTCGCATAAAAATTAATCGCATTAAATGCGACTGTTATTATATTACCTTTATACATATCTCAGATACAATGGAAAAAATCGAATGGCATAATAGGAATATTATTTAACCAATGTTGCTTCATAGCTAATTTCTTTACCAAATTGACTTGGACCTCCTTGTTTTGGCGATGTATGTATAACAATGGCATCTTAGGAATACTAAGTAAGGTTTCTTTGTCAGTCGATCAAATGTACCGTTTATACGAGGTTCTTTGGAAGTGTCTTTGATTTCGTTAACCATTTAATATACTTTTTTACCTACCAAATTGGAAAAAATGTGTTTCTAATATTTGGAAGTGAAAAGTTGATATAATTGAAAATTTTACTGTTGAAAATTTAAAATAAGCCATCGATCTCGTACTTACGACAAATTGCAGAGCAAATCTAAAAAATATAATATATCTAATCTGATCATATTCCTTAAAATACAAATAATGTATTATTTCCCTTCAATTCGATACAGCTATTTTTTTGATTCGGCCAACCTTAGAATAACCAGCTAAATAAATTGAATTAAGTTCGTTGTAATAATACTCTATAAATAAGCTGTAGCATAAGCGGTACCTACGTGTCGCTATTCCACCCCTCCATTAGGCCATTTCCCATGCAATGCAATCGAAAAGCTTGTATCAAAAATCATGTTCTTCGAGTTGAACTTGTTCCTTAAAAAGGAAGAAAGCAGATGTGTACGCACTGAAGAAAATCCTCGTTAACTCGAAGAAAAAATACCTCGTTTGATTGGATGTTCCTTAATAGTTTGTTTTGTATTAGGTATTAGACGATTGTGTACATTTATTTTCTATGGCAAAAATTAATATTAGAAAAATCAGTCATCGCGATTTAGTGGCATAAAATCAGATAAATTCGGTTTTAAAAGAATTGATTGGGCTTATTAAATATTATCAGATTTAGCAAAGTCGTAGAAGGGTTCGAAAACCGAGTGCCTTACTTGTTTCAGAACTCCTCAACCTTTAGAAAATTGACGTGAAAAGTAGCCTATTAATTGCCATTTGAATTGATATTTTGAGCTGTAAAATACAATTCTACAAAGTTTTAGTTATATCCAAATACAATCACAACTCCTATGGTCTCAAATGAGATAATTAGATCAAAGATAATAGATATTTTCAATTAACCTTGTATATGAATTGATCCGTATCATCGAATCACACACGGTAGGCGTACGTTTTTACATATCACCAAGCTATTGTTAGTTCGGTATTGTCACCATCAAGCATTGAGCTTTCTTTTTCACCTTCCCAAATTGAGCAAAGTGATTTCGGAACTTGGGTGGAATGGATCAAGCTGATTCGAAATGGCATAATACTTAAAACGGGATTTTTTATAGTTTTTTCGTTTTGCTTATACCGTTAGTGCTCTCTAATTACCAGTGAATTTCGAGAACACTTGGTTTTGAAAAAAGCGATCTCGTGCTACTTACTGCTGCTTTTAAGGCACTATACATAAACAGTTGTCTCGCTTTTATCATCTTCAGTAGACGTTACAATGTGTGTCAATGTGTTCAGATACCGGCAAATATGACGACTTGTAACTCTAAACATGAAAAAAATGGGTGATTTTTCTTCACGTTTATTTTTTATAGTAGTTCTTTTTGGTAAGTGAAAAATTTGGGAAAATATTCAAAACACGCAATGACTTCTTATAGGTACGTTGGACAGATCTGCGTCGTTGCAACTTATTATTGGAGATTGTCCAATTTACTTCTTTGAAAGATGTATACATTCGGAAGTTGTGAAGTTTATATTATCAATTCCTTCGGGAAATGGAAGCTCATTATATGAATTGGATCCTTTCAACCCTGTCTTACCGAGGGGATTTAATTCTTTAGTAAGTAATAGTCTAATGTAGCATATAAAACACACAAACTACGGTTTTATTTGCAATTTAAATAAAAATGTTATTCCGGGATTAATAAAACTGTACTTGCTTCTACCGGAATTAAATGACATTTGACTTGGTTCACAACGAACTTTTAATCTATTTCAAAATTTAGTCGTAGTTAATAAATATTGAACCATGTCCATCTGAATAATACGTTTAATACAAAAATAATACAAATTTATTGCAACCTAATATTTATTAAATTATTAGAACATTATATAACTCGGATTTACAAAATAAAATTTTCATAGATCTCTGTCCACCTGTGGCATGTATTTTAACACTAATTTAATATCAGCTTTCTTCTTTGCTTTCAACTATGGTTTTTCTGTGATTTGTTTGACATTATTAAAGTTATCGAGTATATTATTATTACAATGTTTGGTACGCTGATTACGTGTTGTACCATCTAGTCTCACAGTGGACAAAGTACCCAAAGTACAGTAGTTAAAAGGCGTTTTATCGCTAACGTGCGTAGTAGTTAGTAAATAGTGAACGCATTTAACTTTTGTGTAAGGAATTTTATTGTATTCGGAATTCTTGGAAATTGTTTTTTGGAAATTTAAAAAATCAGTGGACTTCATTTGTATTATAACATATTTTTTTAAATAGGCAATGTGCACTAGGTTTCTGATTAACGACACTGGGCGGTGTACTAAATGTCGCAATTTTCTCTCGAGAAAACTATGCACTGAATCCTCTTCCTGTACATTAGTATGTCTGAGGGTTCTGTAAATTTTCGTTGTCTGGTTTCTATTCGGGGATGATTTTTAAAGAAATGCTGTAATCCACATGACAAGTTTTTATTTTGGTGAATTCAGGAATCCGATCAAACTAAAAATTTGTTATTTCAGGGAAATCTGTAAGAATTCGATCCAAAATTTTCAGAAAATTCTTGCAAATTTGATTTCCTGCAAATCAGTACTCGGTCCCGTTCAATTCAAAATAATATTTTTACGTGTGCTGTTCATACCTGTCTTTCGGTTTTGAAACTCTCGATCTACTTATTTTTTATCGCTTCTTTCAACAAACTTGGATTTTCGGTCTTGTTTGTTTATGTTTATTTTGAGTTGACATTTTAAACGACATTTACATTGTCCCTTCACGGCCTTCATTTCCACAAGTTTTCCTTTACTATCAATAGATACATTCCAGCCCATTTTGTGCGCCTTTTTCCAATATTTTGTATCCGTTCATTAATTAATATCCCTTTGACGTTGAGAACATTGTTTATCCGTGCTGGCTGTAGGTACAGCACTAAAATAGGAAAAAAAACTAATTTTATTGGATCTTATATTATGTAATAATTGTGTTAGAATCAGGATTCTGATTCCCAGTACATGTGCTACCTCTGAATAAAATTAAACAAACTTAACTTACTTTATATTGCCTTCGGGGCTACTAATACAGGGTGTCCCACCGGGAACCGCCGCGATCTGGCAAAGTAACAACAACAAACAACAACAACATCTTTATTCATTGAAAGGCTATCGACCATTGCAGTCTTTCCGCCCAATGGTAGTAAATGATGATGAACAAAAAAAAATTAATGATTAGCAAAAAAATCAATAAAAATTATCACTATACAATAATTTAACAGTCGAAGTAAAAACTAAGTATTTGGTCATGTCGTGGTCTGTCCATTATTGCGCGTGTGGGCCTTGATAAGCACAGTTGCTTCAGTACTGTTCAGGTGTTTCCTCTGTAATTCCATTTTTCTTGAAGTACTATATCTATGTCCATTATTTTTGGTAGCCGTGTCAGGTCGTACAACAGTTGCGTTGATGGGTTATGCAGTGCAAGATGTAGTCTTGTTCTGTTGCATTGCTTGCATTTGCTAATAGTAGTAAATTTGGGTTGCTGTCCTCGTACTTATACCTTGGTTTTTGTATGTTAGTGACCGAAAAACTTTAGCTCGCTTTATTGCTACTGTTCTGATATGTTGGACCTGGCAAAGTATAATTAGGAGAAATTTGAAAATTGAACAGTGCGGCGAAGTCATTGGGGGCAAGCGGTCTAAAATATTTTCAAAATGGGCACAAGTCCGATTATACCGGAAGTAGATATCAACTTATTAGCTTATTTTAAATGGAACACCCTATATACGTATTGTACCGTGGATGGCCGAGTATCTAACTCTTTCTTCACCTTCCAACTTTTATTCACCTTTGTATAACTTTAAATGCGGAACAGGAACAAACTAACTTCAAAATTACCGTCAACTTTACAAACAATAACAAAAACACATGGAAAACTCGCTCTTCAGACTCGCGGGGCTTAACCTCTTCTGCACCCGGTCGCTCCTGTCACTTTACTGACTCCCCATGGTTCTCGTCGTCGCTTATATAGTTTTCTCCAGGTATCCCTGATAGTTGATAGTAAATGGGGCCCAAATGGGAGCCCCATATGGGCCCCATTATTACATTTTGCAATTCTACTTTGAATTCTCACAGTATTTCATTTATGACATCCTATACCTAAGTGTATTTTGATATATTTGAAATTTTATGTAAAAAATTGCAGTTGCAGCCACTCGCTTAATTATTAATTTTTGCTTTAAGGAATATGTGCTACTTAATTTGAGTCACTTTTATTGTTAAAAAGGACTTACTTTATTTGAATTTCGGGAACATTTTGAAAACTTTGAATACAAAGTGTTAAAAAATAAGTTTCAAAATACAGTTGAGAAAACCGCACAAAATATTTCTTTCAAATTAAAACCTCCATTTTTGATAATTTTGTTTTATTCAATATTAAAAATAATTGTATCTTTCTGTAAGGTTGTCTATTCCAAAACTGGTTAGTTTTCGAAATAGTGTCAATATTGAATGTTTTCATATGGCCATATGACTATTGGCCACATCTTATTTTAAATCCTGTCACTCTTAGTTGCCATCACAAAAGTGGCCAGATTTAGTACAATGAAATGCCCAAAAAATGCTTATAGCTTATAGTCAGTTACCTTTTAAAAATAATTAATAATCATGCCCGTACGCTTAAATTATATAAACGAAAATATATTATTATTTAAACTTATTTATTATTTATGGAGAATGTGATAAAGTTATTTCCCTTCGATATGCAATATTTTCGACTGCTCTTCTCGGTTTCCATAGGACATTTTCGGGGTGAAATGAAAAAATAGAAAGGTTAAGTTGCGAGCCTTTAAGTACTGGGCGCATTCACCTCACCTTTGCTTTTGCAGTTTGTGGGAATCCAGAGCTCTCTTTTTTAGTGAATAAAGATAGTAGCATCTTTTTCGACTGATTTTTCAAAAAGTTATATACATATAATAGTATATAACATATTAAATGTGGCAAGGATCTCTCAACGTACGAATGAAAAAGTTGCGTATTTCCTTGAGTATGGAGCCGCATTAACTTTCTAAAACTAGAAGACAATTTTGTTATATGTTTGAATATACCAGTGCTGACAACGATTAAAATGTTGACAGCAGTCCAGGATCTCAAAATGTTTATCAAATTTAATGACCCCTTCGTATGGATCAAAAAATTGGAACTTGATACCTTCTTACCTTAAGTAGTTTGTAGTGCCTTTCTTTTCGTATAATATTTGGGGGTGTTAAAGTTTCGCTTAACATTTTATAAAGAGGCATTTAGTAACAGTTGAGGTTTCGTTTCACCAACTAATTTAAGAATATTATTTGACGAATAATAATATGCCGGTTAGACAGACGTAACAGAACTGCGCGTTTGATTTCTTATGCGAAAAATGTAACTTACTTAGATTGTGGCTAGTGTTTGTATTAAACAAATTGGTGATTTCAACTCAAATTAGTATCTATAAATATGGACATGGGAGTTCAGCATAATTCTCATCCGACGACTTGTAGGATACATTATTAATAATTTAATGTAATAGTATTGCCTGTTCTGGCAGTGGGTTTTTTTTCCTCTTTTTTTTTTTGATGACATAACGACGGCTGTTGTTAATGCTGAAATGCACTTATGTCATTAAGTGATGAAATGTTAAACCAGACAGGGCACAACACAAAGCAACAGTTGCTGACATACAAAAAAAAATTGATGAAAACTATTAATTTTTTATGTTTTTCATAATAATCTAATTGCAGCTTTTATCGCATCATTGATTAATTTTACATATCTGACAGACGAATTATAAACAGTCTTAAAATCATGCAGATATTGTATACTTTCTCACAACAACACAGCCAGAAAGTGGTTGCAGCAGGTAAACGAATGTTTTCTAATCATAAGATCACAGTTTATGTGTATCTTTCCAAATAACTCGTGTTGTCAAATAAGTATAATAGAGCAAGGAGTTGCCAACTACCTTAACGGAATTGTTCATTACTAACTCGTTATCAAGTTATGTTGAAAGGTTAGTAGGAAAAAGTGAACGCGTAGTTTATTTAAAAATTTTAAATTATCTTCTGGAACTAAAAAGTATACTGCGAACGCCTTTTGAATATAGTAATGGATAGGGGACTTGCATCCTAATGATTTATGCCAAGGTATTTTTCTTCAATTATTTTGATTTAGGAATTGTTCTATGAAGTTTTTAGCTGTTGAAATGAGCAAATTAAAGATTACGACTTTGAAACTAAAAAGTAAGGCTATTTTCTTAACGTAAGTTTTCCTAAAAACATATTTTTCCCGTTTATTACAAGTCGAGAAGATAACCGACTTGAACAATTCATAATTCTGAAACCATCCATTTATTATAAAAAATAATACACGAATATTATTGGGGCAGCATAAATATTTTAGCACTTTAATCTAGTGGCTTATTAAGTGGAATATACTAAGTAATTTTAAAATAACTTGATATTTAAACAGAAGCTCTAAATTGGTACCTACCTCATTTAATCATTGTCAAAATTGAAATGGATTTATAACATATTGCTTTAAAGAGTTATTTCGATATATTTAGTGTAATGATATTTATAGAATTAATCAATTCATTCTACTTGGCATTGAATATATGTATAAGCAAGTGATTACGAGGGAATAGTTAAGAACGCGTATATAAGGTGGTCCAACCGAAAAGTATTCAGAAAGCTTTACGGCTTTGTTTGAAAAAATTCAAAAATTGCTGTGACCACTTGCTTTTGGCTTTCATAAAATAATTTTATTAAAGATGTAAATTAACTATATAATGACTTATAATTAAAAAAATAACTTGGGTAATGTTGAAATTAACATAAAGTTTCAAGTTGTAATGTATGGATCTAAAATAAGCTCGGCGTAAATTTGCAAGCATATCTCGAACTTTAGCAATATATAACATACCTGTTGGCTATATGTTTGACGAGCAAATATATTTGCGCAAACTTAATATTTAATTTAATGAACTGCCTAATTATATTTTCAAAGCAATTTGAAATTAATCTTTGAAAATAGCCAGACATAAAGTTTTCTGCTCTAAAAACCAAACCAGTAGATAATAGTTTACATCCTGGTACAACGTTTGTATAAAACACTTTCTTGTACTTGCTATAATTTACTAAACTTTTAACTGGTTCTTTTAAAATGAGCCACCCTGTATATGTGTAACATGATTCAATACAGAACAGACAACAATCAGCAGGTGACATTAAAGATCAAATAAAGGAAAGTGGGTCATTTCTCTGATGGAACTATAAACTTGCCACTCTATTCAGCTGTTAACAATGTGATTTTTGAAAATTTGATTCTTATCAATTGAGTTTTCTTATTAATGATGTAAAATGCATTTCAATGAATATCACATTACATGATATATTTATCAATAACTTTTTAAATACGTACACAACAGATGACACATCATATTTACTGCGATCACAATTGATACTTAAATATTTAGTACGTCCAACAAATCGCATTACATCAATGTAACCAGTCAACGAAAAACACAAAACCTGAAGATGCAACTCACTCGTACTTGGGAAACGCGAGGAATAAATTATTGTCTCCAAAGTAAAAAGTACGTCAAGTTGAGTGGTTTTGTGCTAAATTTAGGACTTTTTCAGAACAGACAGATATTTATGTCATTGCTTTCGAAATTCAATTAGAAAACTTATTTGTGAATAATTGCATTACAATCCGCGGATCAAAGCGGCGAATTTATAAATAACCCAATTTTCTCTATTTATCTAAAATCTATATTTGTTATACAAAGAGGTTATTGACCCATATTAGGCTTTTTCTGCTCTGAATTACATATGATGATTGATGGGGATATTCAATACAAACTATGAAAAATTTAAAATATCCCCTTTGCATTGAAAGCGATGCTAAGAAAAAATGTTTATATTTATCAATGGAAATGTTCCAGTGGGGTTACGGTTGCGAAGAGGAAACTCGCTTGTCTGGCCTCTCGTGTTAAGCGAATAGAGTAGGGTTTCCCAAATTTTCCTATAACAGAACACTGACTTTATTTTAACAACTAAAAAAAAAATCATTACATTTTTCATGGGGCTCACATCAGGGCGTATGAAATGGCAAGCAAATGTTTTCGCGGAACACTAGTTCAGGTGCCACAGAACGCCCGTGTTTCGCGAAACACAGTTTGGGAACCTGTGGACTAGAGATTGGGAAGATCCATAGTTTTTGTGTGAATTATGATTTTTATGGTTATTTCTACACTCCCTACATATCTGTAGAAAACGCCTCCAGAAAAATGAAGCTCGAGTTATCCTATATGAATTTTCTTTTATACGCAATTTGTTTTGGGACACATTAAACCAATGGATTACTGAACACCGGTACAAGTTGAGCAGCAGTTAATTTACCTAACACGAGAACCTGTTCGATAAGAATAATAGGGAGATTACATAGACACCAACTTATTGACTCAAATGCCATTAATCAATTAATTTCTACAACTATTTTATCTGCACTCCTAAACCACCGCCAGACAACACCTCAAGAGGAATGACGCCAATTTAAATCACCCTGTATTTGCACAATGTCGAAATGTTCTAACTAAATATGCCTTATATTTTTATGTTTTTGTCACATATAAATGCTCGACAAATATTTTGTAACTTTGTCCATATAGTAGTAGGTATAGTATGGTAGTAGATAGTTTGATTGTAGCTGTTGTTCAATTGGGTGGTGTATTTTGAACTTGTCAATGCCAATTTAAAAATTTACTTTTCTTTCAAAGTATTCAGATTGTAGATATTTATATTTTTATATGTACCGGTTCGAAATACATAGTATAAAAGAGAATTAACCAAAAGAGATAAAACAATCCGTATCATACAGTGTGTCGCACTTGAGATGGAAACACCCCTATATTTTATTTGATTTTAGACACAGTGTTTTCAGTTTCGGTACAGAGGTAGAATGTTATGAGCGTAATTGTTTAGGGTATCAATTTCTACCTTCAGATAAAAACCCCGCTTAATACGACTTTGCAAATAATGACAATTAGCTATAATTTGCGAAGCGTTAGAGGTATCGGTAAAGTTACTAGAAAAAGTTGTTCACATTCCAGCATCCAAGTCTGATTGGTTTTTGTTTCTGTTTCCAGAACCGTTTTCTTTTTCTTTCCTGGTGGTCATCGTTTTTTCCTGTTTTGTCCGAGGCTACGTTATCGTTTATTTGAGCAGTGTACTACCCTCTGGCCGGTCGCTAGCCTTAGCTGAGGTCCTTCCTCTTTTATCCAGGCTTGGGGCCGGCTGTAGTTCGAATGATCTACTCCGCTCACCCATTCTCTCCACAGGCAGAGTTATTTGTATTATAAATAAATTAATTTAAATGAATTTATATTACAAATAAATCCTGTAAATTATGCAAATCTGATTAAATTGTCAATATTTAACGATTATTTATACCTTATATCTCCTGTTATTGAATATAATATATGCATTAAATAACAATTAAATTAATTTATAACAGTATTAATTCTAATTTACAATGAACATTATGCTCACTACACAATGCTCAATAAGGATATTATCATTAACACTAATTTTAAGCAACATTTAAAAGTGCTTGATTATGGAAATCGACACCGACTATTTATTTTTTTTTAATTGTAAATCTAACGATAAAAATTGAAATTCTCTTGTTTTTCTACTCCAAAATTCGTCAAAATCGGTGTGGTAGAAACCGATATGTAAATAAATAAATATAAAAGGCCCAAATTTTACGAAAGCCGAAAAGTGATTAAAAATAAAAAATGCTTAAAACGGCAATTGTATATGACAGCTTAAGGGTTCACAGAATATTCATAAATTTGAGCCTGGCGCAAAATTTAGAAAAGAGTATTTTTTCAGGTAGGTTATTTAACAATTGCCGTATGTCAAAACTATCCGTCCGATCTTAATCGGCCTTGCGTCTCTCGTTAGGTATTGCAGGTACATTTCTCTAACATTTCTCTTTGACATTGTTAATTAAATAATTTAAACTTACCATATTTTTATCTACTTTTTTGCACTTTCGAACATTTCAAACCGAACGTTTCAAATCTACGGATATCCACCGGACCCGTTCTATCTTACATAAAATTTCGTAACGAACAAATTTATAAATACACATTTTTTAATGCATACTTACATAGTTACACGCGATTGTTTCCGAGAAACAAGCGGTTTTCGCTTTTTTGCCGCTTTTAACAACCACCTAAAAAACAATCAGCTTCAGAGATGATGCAAGATTAGACTACTTGATGTTTCAGTAGCCGCATTTTTAACCAGTCCTTACACCATTACATATTTCTCATTTAAGATTCCTATAAAAGTGGTAGTTCATGGATATGGTGGTTTGGACATTGACACCAGCTCCAGAAATGTTAGTAAAGCTTACCAAGATGTTGGTTACAATGTTATCATAGGTAAAATGTTCACAAAACATTTGACAGATATGCCTAATGATAATATAAATATGTTTCAGTTGACTGGAAGCCCTTGGCAGAAATCCCCTGTTATACTACTGCGTACCTAAATACTTGGTACGTGGCTCAATGTATTTCTATTCTAATGGTAAGCCTTTTACCGCTGGGTGTAAGTCCTGAGATAATGCACGTTGTGGGCTTCAGCTTAGGCGCGCATGTATCAGGACTAGCAGGAAACAATTTACAAAAAGTATTGGGAAGTTCGTTTTATCGAATAACTGGTAGATCAAGTCCATCAAACAATGTTTAGAAAATGTTTCAGCAGCATCCATGTTCTAGGTTTAGATCCAGCTCTTCCGTTTTTTGCAACTTTAAATAACGATTGGAAGCTGGACAAAACTGACGCAGCTTTTGTGGACGTTATCCATACCAGTGCAGGAACTTTTGGAAAACTCGAAGCAACTGGCCATGTTGATTTTTATGTGAATGGGGGATCATTACAGCCGGCATGTCAATACAGAAAGTGTAAGGCATTTCAAAAATAATTAAGCACATCGTTCTGTAAAGCTATCATTTTATGACATCAGCATGAGATCCAACATTCTCCTCAGAGCCTTGGTGGTTTTCCCTGTGGTCTCCTTCCTACTGGATTGTTAATTTTTGCGTTTTGGCGAGCCTGTTGTCCTCCATTCTTTCTACATGTTTGTTTCAGAATCTTCTTCTCTGTCTCACCCATCTTTCTATGTCCTGTATCCTGATGTCCCCACCCCCTATATCTTATTCTTCGGTCTTACTGCCGTTTTATATATCTTGACTTTGCTTTCATTTCTGTATTTAGGTTTTGGCTTTTCAGAAATTCCTGCCGCTTTCATTGCTTGCTCTTTCACTTAAAAAGATACGTTTTCAAGGCTCGTTATATCTGCTCCCAAATATTTGAAGTGGTTTACTTGTTCGACTATTTTGGAGTCGATTTCCAGCTTCTTTCTAGTTTTTTGCTTTGATGTTAAAAGAATTACTAATTTCTGGTGGCTGTCTTCAGAATCTGCAATAAGGTCCGCGTCGTCAGCGTAGCATACGGCATGAAAGAAAATACTTCACTTTTTGTATCCAGCCGTTCTGGCGAGATTTTCTATTATTTCATTCATTATCACATTAAATGTGAATGGTCTGAGTGGCTCTCCCTATCAAATTCCTGTGTTTACGTGTACCGTTGCAATGTGTTCTACTCTGATTGTTGTTCTGGAGTGGAGTTTACGCGTGTATTACATTAAGCAGTTTGTGGTTTGTACTCATTATTTCCAGGCCATCAATTAAACGCACTCCCTCAAAAGCTTTAGTCATATCGATTTGATTTTGATTTTTTTGATTTGATTTGATTTGCTTGACTGTGAATATTGCATCTATTGTGGATCTGTTTTTTCAGAAACCTTGTTGTTTTTCTCTTCTTATTGTTTTGGGGATTTCTCATAGAATAGTAGTTGTGAATGCTTTAAGAGCGTTATCAAGTAGGGCTATTCCACGATAGTTTTCTGGGAGTGCTTTCTGTTCCTTTTTAAAAATGGGTTTTGTGATATTAAATATGTAAACAGCTGTATTTCAGATTTTTTCAATTCTTTAAAATTATGAATAACTTAAAAAAAGAATCAGCCAAGACTTTTGTTCCAACGGATTCTTTACATATTCGACATTTTTAATCGGTCCGCACATGCAAAATGCGTCACCATTTTCAGTCGTCTTAAGTTGGCTTCAGGCTGGGTGTGTTTAATTGGGACAGAGCAGTCCTTATTTCATAATTCTCTATTTTTGGTAGTGTGTCCGAGTTTAGATTCATGACTAATTTGTTCAATTCTGTCTCGTCGTTTACTGAAAAACAGTTGTTCTCTTAAATTCGGTCGCAAGCATTTTAGGCCTCTATTTCTCTCAATTAATTCCTGGATTTAATTTTTATTGTTTTATTAGGTCGTCTCTTATTTTCCTTGTAATAAGTTTTTTCAGTTCTGAGTATTCTACTGTGCTTCTTTTACTTTCGCTTATTAGTGTTCGCCTATTGTTGATCAGTCTGGTTGTCTGATCACATAGTCTAGTTTATTTTTCTTTAGCTTTTCACATTTTTTATCCCTTGCTTCTCCTTGAGTGCCTTTCGCTCAGTTCTTTACTAATTTTATTAATATATATCTCGGATTTGGTTAGGGATTTTATTACTTCACACGATTGATTACACGAGTAAATAAATAAATATCTAACTCTTCCGTTTCTGATTGATGTTTATGGTTATCTCTTAGAGTCCGTCTATAATCATCTGCGTTTCGTCTTAGTGTTATTTGATTTTTTTTGTTTTCCATTAGAATAACCATAAATGAAATTAATGCCAGTTAATGGTAACTTTTAGATAAGCAATCATTGTAAGCGGAATCGGTATTTGACGTGATAAATTGTCAAATCATTTACGTATATTTTGCAATACAGAACGTTTAAGTTGATGCAAATAATAAAAAATAAAAAATCAAAAATAGAATTACCGGCTTAATTCCCGAAAGCATTACTTTGCGCACCCACGTGCCTCATTTAATTATTTTTATAATGTGTGTTATTAACTCCATAATTATCTTTTTCTCTTTCAAACACTCTGTTAACAAAAGAAGTATATTATTAGTAACCAGTGCAAAGTATTTAATCTCAATTTTAAGTGATAATTGTATCATAAGTTATTTTAAAGTCATAGTCGCCTGGAAAAAGTCGACACTTAAATAAGCCTGGTGGTGTTCTTTTAAATAAATATATATGTTTATTCTATGCTGTAGTTTTGTAGTCAGTTTCTTTCTGCTGCAGAATCCGCAATTATTTTGTTATTTTTGCAGATCCGCCACTTTGCAGTCATATCATGGCAGGCTTGTACTTCGCAGAATCGATAAGGAACACGGTATTTGGTGGACATTCTTTTATAGCAAGAAAATGTGACAATGTTGGTCATTACATCTTAGGACTATGTAATACATTTGAAAATATGGCAATAATGGGTGAAAATGTCTATTATTTGTAAGTAACCTTAACTAATTTCAACACAACAAGAATTTTATTCAATTTATTTGTTTGGAACTTTTTAGTACCAGAGGAACGTACTACCTTGAAACTGGTGATCAGCCCCCTTATGCGCTGGGATTTCAAGAATACTATCTCAAAAGAAGCAGAAGTTCAGACGCTTTTAGTGCTTTTGTTGAAAAGCTGAAAAATTTCTTTAAAATAATATAATAAATAATGTAATGAATCTTTTAAACTACGAGTCTTGATCATCATTAATCTTCAAATTAACTGTTTTCAGAAACGGCCTGGAACTGTGAGTTTCAAAGTAATAAATTCCTGTGCTTTTAGAATCAACGTGTTCTCCGAATGTAATATGGGCAGGTTTCTCTTTGTGCGTTATAATTATGTTGTAGCCGGCATCTTCCTGAAAATCGATTTCCGTCGCTGGTACTTGTGAGTATATAGATTCGATAAAGAACTTAGGCGCGCAATAATGATTGCTGGATTCTGAAAAACAATAGAAATTAAATTTCAAAAATTTAGCTTTAAAAACATGTCTCATACCTATATTATTTGGATCCGTACAACCGGGTTGATTCGTTCCACCATTTGGGTAGAAATCGATATGTCCGCATGGATGAGTGTATCCATACACCTGAATGTCAGTGTGGATTACATCAACAAAATGTGCATCTGCAAAATAATTTTAGTTATTTGTAAGACTTAGAAAATTGTCATGAGTGCACACAGTTGCGTTCAAGGTAAGTTTTCAATTCATAGATTATAAGGCTTTGGTATCAAATAACATGGAGTATGGAACGGATGAATAATTACAACTAATTTGCCGAATATTAGTGCGCATCGAAAAGAAGTAGTAATTAATGTGACCATTTCGAATATATAAATCAAAGTTTTCTAACAGCCACAAGTTTCCGTTTTAAATTTCCGCAAATTTGACTTAAAGAAAGTAGTAATCCATCGTACTTTCCTCAATGTGATCTTACGCTTTTCATGATAAATTATAAATGCGACCAATGGGAATTTAAAAGTATTTATATACATGATTATGTTTCCGTTAAGCTAACTATTTACGCTCATATTCAGTTTTTTTCAAAATTCATAGGTGCTAATGAAAAAATTGGCGATATCACATCCTGTAAGCTTTTTTTACCTCATATTTGTTCATCTGGAGCAAGTAGGAAGTTGAAATTTAAACAATAAAAACTTAACACATTGAAAAATTTATAAATGTTAATATGAAAAAACTTTTTATTACAAAATTATAAGTTCTGCATTAAAACTTCCAGTTGCCAATCTGAACCAAAAAAGTCCGGTTGATATTAAAAATCTTAAAAAATCGATTCAATTCGTGCCAAGACCTGTTTTGTCGTATTTGAATTACGTAAAATAATCCATGCTATGTTGACGTGATAATAATCTTAAATGGAACTTTGTGAACAATGAACAATATAAGATTGGTTAAACAACATCAATTCAACATCATCTTGTCAAACAACAATGAGCTGGAACGCGACGCAAAATATTTAATTGATAAAAACCACATAACGAACCTAATTCGCATAATTTCTCTTGCTTAGTCATGTCTTTGTGTGACCAAAGCGGTCCAGCAGGATCCAAGGCAGTAATTCGGCCTATTTTTTCTCCAAACTTACTTTGATATGATTTGCCTATGAAAGCAGCTAAATGGGAACCTAGTGAGTGGCCTGGAAATTAATCACAATTAATATTTTGATTAAATTCTAATCGGTCAATGGTTTGATAATCTCGTGTATTTAAAATGATTTACCAACTAGATGGATCTTATCTGCAGGAATTCCAGATTTACTCAAAAAAATTGAAATGATCTCGCCTACAGGCTTAACATTTGCGGAAGACATTCCATAGGACAAATTTCCGTATTTGGTCCAGTTGACATAAATTACATTATGACCTAGGTCCAAATATGCATCTTTTAAAGGTTCATACCTAAAATATATTAAATAATGCAAAAACGCATAAAAAATTAAAAATAAGGAAACACATTAATAGATGGAATTTATCCTTGTTATCCGCGATGTACGAACTGGATACATGGATAACAGAAATACGTTGGAAATTCTGAATATTGACTACAATATTTTAGGAAGCTTGCAAAATGTCTAAAGATATTTTCTCTTCAAATTGACTAGACACTGAGCGCAATAACTGGATTACGCCGATTTTCGCTGCACCGTAATTAAAACAACAAGAAACAACTAAACTTATTATGCAAATAACAACACTAGAATATTATTTAATCTTTTGACAAACGAGGGTAATCAAATAAAAATTCTTAAGGTAGCGAAAGTCGCAAATTTAATCTGTTGCGCTTTTTTAAATTAAAGACGACAGCCGAAGTAGCTTGGAAACTTTGCACAGGAAAATAAAGTTAGTCCATCGCAATCCGCGCCAGAGCCCATCGCAAGGTAGTATCGAAAGATTTAATCAACGTTTGGGGAATATTATCATTACTGCTGTGGCTTATAGATCCATTTACTAGAAGAAAACTTCTGCCCTTTATGCAAATATAAAAAATGGCATCGCATGCAGGAGCCGCCGCGCTCTACATAAAGATAATTTTGGATCACTTTTAAAAAATTTCTACCAACAGTCTATAGACATCATCAATAAAATTAATGCTAAATAAGGGTTGGGACAAGGTAACTTAAATACAGACAGGACGAAAAATAATAAATGTGAACAAGAATGGGGAAGACACTGAATACTCATACACATTTGGAAATGTTGTCTTCCCGATAAAGATTCTGATCAACAGAAACTAAACAGCAAAGTTTGATCACATGAAATATTATGACCACTGTCCAATTAATGTGAAGGGTAAAAGTCTTCCACAGTCAGATATTAACTAGTGCGTCAGAGCTTGTAACGATTGCACTAATTATGTGTTCAGTTTGCGATTATCCAAAGCAATGTAACATCACAAAGTGCCTGTTGAGTTGGTCAGTTTGCAGAATGTCTGAAAAGTCTCGCACTTCTTTAATGCATTATTAACAACTTTCTAATACAACAGTAAACCAGAACACTAAGAGAAAACAAGATTGGTAATTTTTTTAATAGGCGCAAAGCTACAACAAATGTCGAAAAAGAAATCCCTCAGGCGTGACAGAGGATTCAACTATTTGCCTCATTGATTGTCGTATGTACGCAAATATTCCTGGTGTAATTCTTATTGCTCATAGCCGGCCATAATTCGATTCCTCATGTTGAGGACATTTTCAACGGTAGTGGAATAAACTAGAGACTTAAGAAACCCCCAAACGCAAAAATGTAGGAGATTTAAACCCCGCGATCGAACAATCCAATGTTCCGTACGTCCCCTATCTTTCCACCGAGTTGGATGTTCTTTGTCAAAGTGATTACGTACCTTAATGCTGAAATGGGCTGGTGCACCATCATTCATGTACCATAAGTGTTGTCTCAGCTCTAGCTGAGGTTTATGAAATAGAAGATCATTATAAGATGTTTTATGTTTTTGCATCAACACGAGGCCGCTTACGAGAAAAAGGCAAGAGAGATTTCTTGTCGCAAATTGCACAAAGAGCTCAATATTTATTTTTCGTTTGAAATGTAACCTCGCACATTATATAATTTGCCGCAGCATATAAAAGTTCTCGGTATATAATAGCCTACTTCTCTACCTAGGTATATAATATACTATTTTTTTAATAAGAATGCCGCGCACTTGTAAGAATTCTACAGACCGTTTTTGATATATTTATCGAGTTTACTCTAAAAACACTGCGAAATTCGGTAACAGATCTTGTTAAAGAAGCTTATCAGTTTTATTTTGGATTTTATATTGATGAGAGTGCTAAAAGTTGGTTACAAAAAATTTGCTGTAACAGTTGTTTCAGAACGTTGAGAGGTGGGCTTGAAGAAATCACAAATCTATGCCATTTACGATCCCAATGCTTTGGAGTGAACCTCAAAACCATGAAAATTACTGTTATTTCTGCATGACATCAACACGAGGATGCCGAAAAAAAAAACAAGATTATATATTCAAAAATCACATCTGCAAAGAGACCACTTTCGCGTGGGGAAGGTAGTTTACCTCCAGTATCTCCAAAAAATAACCAGAAGACGGAAAATAAAAATACTTCTGGACTACAACCTCAATCAAGTTTCAATTCTACCTGTACATCATTCACTTCATCTGGATCTCATCAAAAGAACGTATTTTCTATAAACAACCTGATTTAAATGATCTGGTTAGATACTTCGGGCTATCAAAATCTGGGGCTCAGTTACTCGGAAAAGATTGAAACAGAGGAATTTGTTGATTAAAAGTACAAGAGTGTTATATTTTCGTACAAAACAAGAATATTTTACGAGTCACGTTTCCAAAGAAAATGATTTAACATATTGTAATGATACTACAGGGCTTCTTGCAGAACTGAGTTTTCCAGAAAATTGTGATGAATGGAGACTTTTTATTAATGCATCGAAGATTAGTTTGAAAGCCGTTTTACTTCACAACGGAAATAAATACCCCGCCCCCAGTGCATCTAGCACAAGCAATCTGAAGGTATTACTTCAAAAATTAAAATATTCTGAATTCCTATGGAATATTTGTTCTGACTTAAAAGTTGTCGCTATACTTACTGCATTGCAAGGAGGATACACCAAGTTTTGCTGTTTTTTATGTGAGTGAAACAGTCGCGCGAGAGACAAACATTACAAAGTAAAAACTTGGCCACAAAGAAAACGTTTGACATCTGGACTTGTGTCTATGTATCTCAAGAACCTATAGTTCCAAGTGACAACATTTTTCTGCCACCACTTTGTTCACACACAAAAACTTTGTGAAAGCTATGAGCAAGGACGGTGCGGACTATCTCTAAACCAAATTTTCTCGAATCAGTGGCGCGAAACTGAAAGAAGGGATATTTTTAGGTCAGCAAATACGAGAGCTTATGAAGACTGAAGTTTTCAATTCGAAGTTGAACAAAGCTGAAAAAAACGCTTGGGTGGCTTTCGTAAAAGTGTGTCATAATTTCCTTGGTAATACAAAAGCCGACAACTACCGACAAATCATTCGAGAGCTTCTTTCTGCTTATAAAGCTTTAGGATGGCACTCAACATTCATTTTTTGGACTCGCGTTTAGATTTCTTTCCGGAAAACCTCGGTGCTGTATCAGATGAGCATGGTGAAAGGTTTCATGAAGAATATTAAGTATTTTGAAAGACGCTACAATGGAGAATGGTTAGAGGCAAGCTATGCTTGCCGATTTTTGTTGGTCGCGTCGCCGAAAAACTTCGATGGAAAGGATGAAAAGAAAAAACTGCAAAATAAGTTTAATTATACTACTATACTGACATAATTATACTGATATTTTTAGCGCTTGTGACTGCAAAAACAGCATTTTCGCTGTAGAACTTAGACCGCAGCCTTTTCTACTCTTTCGTAATTGTGTTACTTTGATAAAATCGTTCTTATTATATTTCAAATCTATGTGCTATATTTATTTGCATGTTAAATTCCGCGTGTATATCAACAAATATGATGTTATGCATGAAAAAAATGAAGAAAAAAAAATTTTTGGCAGACCAGGGTAATTTGAGCTAAAATCACCCGATAATAGTAAAGCAAAACAATGAATAAAGTTTATTTGATAGAGCAGAAATATTTTGCAATCAATCTAACTTTCCCAAAAAATATCAATTTATAGAAAAGTTTAATATTTAAAATTAAAAAATGATCGAAGTTGCTTTGTGGACAAGTTGTTTTAATAAACTTGAAAATCCACAATTTTTGTAAAATAAGAATAAAACCGTCACAAACCTCTTATTCCACCTATTATAAATCTTGTCAGTACAGAAAATGATGTCCAATATTCGGATTCTAATTAATTAAATTATATCTGAATTAGCTAATATTTAATTAATTAAATTAAATCAATATAAAACACTTAGATCTGATTAGTAATTGCGAATTATAAAAAATGAAATGGTAAAAGACTAATAAAATGATGCGAAACATGATAGGCCTGACGAAATATGCTTACCATGGGGTGGTATCACTTGAAGTCCATCCGTGAATCAACCAGACAGTTTTGACCGTTTTATCAACGTCTAGTTGCTCTACATTTTCATGAGTTAGTGGAATACAATTATCCGGATTTTGCTTTGTGAACAGCTTGTAGTATATTAATTCAGGATCTGTTTCCGAAGCTCGAGAAAAGTCGACTTTCGGAAAACTGCGGTAACGAGCTTTAGAATCTTTAGCTTCCGACATAATTGATATACGTGTAGGTTTCGCAGCGAATTGGCAAATTACGTTTAAACGCTATACATATACTTTTTTGTTATCTAATTCTAGTGAAGATAAGATATCAAATTTGTACTATTTTAAGCAATCATTACGGACAGTTTTTAATCGTTGACTATGTTAATCTAGTCTTACGTAGTTAATACCCAATAGAAAGTCTGCATGATTGTAAAATGACACACGTTTTTTAAGTTGTTTAACTTAAAAAACGAAATTTACTGATCGCAGATTTTTAAATGTAACTTTTATGAACTGTGTCGTAGACGGAATTAGATAGAAAGGCACATTTTAAATATGGAAAACATGGATTTTTGTAACGTCAGATGGCACCGACTGTCGTACTCAGATAGAATATTGGATACATTTCTGAAACAATTTCACGTATTGTGCGTTAAGTCAAATTAAATTTATTAGTATTTTGTCATCATAAAAGAAAGTTAACAAAGTTTCATTAATGTGCTTATGTAGGTTGGCACAGATAAGGGAAGAAAAATAACACAATTTTAAAATTCTGTATCAGCTTGACTTGCCATCCCTCTTTTTACAGATCCGAACCAAATGTTACTGCAATACTTCCATTCTACATCTCAATTTCTGCACGAAAAATAGTGCAGGTTTACTTCGGTTTTAGTTAATGACAGTCAAGTTCTTAGGATGTTTCTTTGTATTCTACCTCTTTATATATCACCACCGTTTTTTTTTATATTATTTTCCTGTCTTTCTCTTGGAGTTTGTTTTTGGTTTCAGCTGTTTTTACATTCAGCCAAATGTTATTTGGTGGCAATAATTGAATTAATATTTGGCCAATAAATTTGATGAGGAATTACACCTTCTCTGTATTATCTAAGACTCGAATAAAACATGTTAAAGCATAAAAATTAACAAAATATTTTTATTATTTATATAAATATAAAGTTATTATACGAGACTAACATCGAAGGCACAATGTAGCTTGAGTTATGGCAGCAAAAGTTTCTAAATGTAAAAATTAGCATATATAAATACAGTAGGTAAATATATCAAAAGCGCTTAAAATTTTGCAAGAATATTAGTTTTCCAAACTATCCTTGCTTCGAACATCTTTATATAATGTAATAAATATATATATGAAAAACGTCTTAAAGATACAGTTCAAAAGTGTTATTCCGTAATTCAACACTTTATAAGAAGTTGTAAGTACATAAAAAATAAACTTTTCAATATATAAACAAACCGGTGTATGTTCAGGTTCCTTGTACAAAAATAAAGTATATCGAAAAATATAAGCGAAATGTTTACTTCTTTATAAAAGCTATGAGTTTGGAACAAAATAGATGAAAGAATGGTTACATATAATGTGCATTGAAACTAAAATACGACTAATGTACAGTGCAGATCTTATACCTTCACTTGCAACATTGCTGATACAGTTTAAGAAAGTATGTACTTAAAAATAACTCAACAACTGCAAGAGCTTATGTATCTAAATGTTCTAAGCGTCTTCCTTGGTATAATACGAATCGAGAAGTGAGTGAGCTGGCCATTGACACAGCTTACAATCCTCTGTAACTTCTTTGGGCAAAAATTGTGCTTAGAAGATACAGTCCGGAATTGATTAAACCTATAATCTGGAAAATTGAATAACATTTAGTCAAACGGTGCACTGGTTTTGATGAACACGAAATCAATAAAGATTCAAATCGAACTTAAAAAGTTATCGCGGATGGGATTTCCTTGCGGCCTAAAACCTTATAAAACAGCTAGAAGACATTTAACACTTTGTTTGAGATTAATTTCTAGGTAGGCATTTTGAAATGATCTGAAGCGCGATATTTTGAATAATGGTATAAAATCACCTACAAAAATCTGAAAATTAACAAAAATATTTATTGTTTAGACATTTTGAATGAAAAGTTTATTCGAAAACCGCAGCTTATCCGCGAACTCAAAAGTCCTAGCACACTCTGGCGGTGGTTTATCTCGAGCTGAGAGAGATGTTATTTTTTCACATCTTCCAAACGAGGTAGAACGTGAAACCGCTTTAAAAATATTAATTGAATTGTCAACGTAAAAGGTTGAAATCGGACAACAAAGTTAAACGATGTTATTTTCCAGGGACGATCAAGTAAACAGTTATATCATCTTAGTTCTGTTACCCGATGCCTTCGAAATGGGGCAAATACCTCAATATGGTATGGTCTTTTGTCGAAAAGATGACTAAATATTCAGTTTAGTACAGCAAACGAACGAAAGCGTTTGCCGCTCCTTTGCACCATATCAGTCGTGTTCTGGTAATCCACTCTCACTGTGAAAAGTGAGACTGGATGTCATTGTGACGCTTGTTCAAAGGGTTACCTGAAGTAGTGCAAGTAAGTCACATTCATTCCCATATTGAAATGACGGAGGATGGGGCACCAGCTTTCAGAAAGCTGGTATGAAAAATCGCTAATCTATAAGAATTTAATAGTAAGAACTAATTTCAAATAACTGGTTGATCTATTTTTATTATATTGTTGCATGTAATATTTTCAATATTTATTGTACAAGGAACCACCAGAAAAACTTGGATTTTGACCTAGAAAAGTCTATAATTCAACAGTTCACCGGTAAGGGCTCCTCTGGAACTAATGTATCTGTGGTGAAACTAAAAATTGTATAGTTTGCCAACTTGAAAATATTATATTCAAATCAGGTAAATATTTTTTATCTTTTTTAAAAGATTTATTAAATAGACCACTTCTTTGATTAAATTTCTAAACATGACGGACCATGCCAATAGTAACTTCAACCATGTAAAAGTTGTTAAATTCAAACTATCTACCTGTTATGGTATAACTTTAAAAAAGGTTTTCTAAGTAAAGGCGCAAACATTATTTAATTAATCTCAAACAAAGAGTATTTCTTCTACTTTATAATATATCATTTTTCCATTTGCCAATAGTTCATTCAGTTAAGCAGTCAAATAATTAACTAATCGGTACAAAAATTAGTGAAATGATCAGTAACTATTCAATTTCAACAATTACCTCTACAATCGGATCATATCTGAAACCAAAACCTATGCAAGTATTCAGTTTTATTTCATAGTTTTGGTCGATTTATAAAATTTGCAAACAGACCATCGCAGATTCTTCCTAAGCAGATCTTTAGTTTCTTAATTTCCGGTAACCGTTTTTTTTTATCATTTTGAGAATCGATTGCGATATTCATCTACAGCGGCCCGAAAGTAATGGATACCGTAAATAACGTATTTTTCTTATATTTTTATATTATATTAATTGCTGTTAGAATCGCGTAATAATTCTACAATAACGGTCCGTAACGTTTTGATCCCTAACTTGCTAGAACAATCGAAAAAAACTTGCTAAAACAAACAAACAAATTATATGTTTTGCCCTTTTAAAACCTGTGCAGTCTATTGTAAATTTACTAATGTTTTCCTATTACTGAATGATTATCAAGATACAAACGGTTACTTTAAAATATGCAGAAAGGCATCAATATCATTCTACAGAGCATCGGCAATTTTTCGGCCCTGTTTCCCAAAAGTGAATTAGTTTTACATTGACTTTTTCTTACACTTTTCATTGTAATATCTGTTAAAGTTTGGCTTCATGTTTTATATGATTTGATTTTGCTTATGCAGCAGGTATCAACTGAAAACTTACAGCAGCCGCAAAATAAGGTTCGTAGTCATAAGAGTAGGATCGCTTCTTGTGGTTTACTTCGATGATGAACGTTAAGCTGGCTGCCAGAAGTAGAAGAAAAGCAAACCCATGGTAGACAAGTTCCTGAAATGATTAAATTGTGTTTTATATTGGAAATTATTTTACAACAACTCAAATTAATTACAAGTATATCAAGTCAATTTGTGTTTGGAACACAAGTACATGAATAACATGGGGCAAAACTTAGGAACTATGAGTTTAAATTGAGGAAAATAACAACGAAACGCAAATACTTATTGCAAATTATGTTGGTGGAGCGGCACTAGCATTCACGAATTCTACAGTTAACCAATTTTAGAAATTTTTGTCATAGTAAAAGCTTAATTTTCGGTGCATAAATAGTTACATAAATTTGATACATTTTTCATCGAATATCTTACATTAATCGACGAATTGTGTCGTCAAAATTAAGAAGGTGTATACAGGTATCCAATGATAATAGAAGGGGTTAGAAGTGAGGGTGATATTCCAAAAAAATCGAACAAAATTGGTAGATTTCCATTTTAGTTTAATTTTTCGATAACCTAAGGCCATGAATCACTGAGCGACCAAACCGTGAAACAAAATCTGCAAATTGCCTTGAATATAAAAAGATTCTAGTGTATTTGATTTCTTTTTATAGCGAACCAAACTAAGATAAATTAAAAAATAACCTTTCTCTAGAATGAAATTATTCCATTCCGAATATCTACTTCACATGAATGTATAACACCAAAATTAAAATGGTTAATTGAATCCTTTCTTCAAAGCTTTTTAAGGATCTACAAACGGTTGAGCTAGTAGCTCAACAGTTCGATGGCTGCCAACATAAAAATAGAAATATAGCAAAGATTTTTTCTTTAAAAATCTTTTCAGTATAGTGTTCAAGCATGAAAATCATACATATCGGAATCAGATCATTCTCATAACAATTTTAATCGACTTCTGGATTTTAATTTGATGGCAATTGATTTTGGAAGCCTGGAGTTTTTAGGTTGCGTTATGAAAACTCATAAAATGTCTTAAAATCCATGAGAAGACATTAATTTTATTTTACTAAATTTGTGAAATTCTCTACTCTTGAAAAGTAAAGCAGGATCTGATTTAAGTAAAGTGCTTCATGAAAATATCTTAAAGATTTTCTGCAAACGAAGAAAATGTGACCCAACTTTTATCTAACGTTCCAGCAATTCATAACGAGTACAAAAGGATGAAAACAATTCACAACAAAAACGAAATCTACCGAAATCGTTCAAGATGCACATGAAAATATCGGACACTTTTTTGAAGAATGGGTTCAGACCACGATGAATGAAATAGTTTTTTTATTTATTTTTACTTGATCCATATTATTTTAGATTAATTAATATTGTCAATCTTATCTGGAAGCAACAGTTGCATTTACATAGTATTTACACAAACGGTTCTACAAAAAAATGCGTACAACTTTTTGATTCGTGGTTATCAGAATTATTAAAACATTTTTTAACAGTTGCTTAAACCACAAAAAAGTCATTTTCAATTTTTCAGCAGACAATATTTTTTCCAGTTTTTTAAATGTATCTCTTGCACCCTTTTACTTTTATCTCCTTCCATTCTCGATTTAGATGTCATCGATAGACTTTGGCTTCTTCCAAACTATCCGTAAAGCCTTATTCGCCGAGAACTTAAAGTAACTGAATTTGGAAATAAGAATTCTCGTTCAGGGTTTTTGGTTCTGGTATATGGTTAAATAGCAGCACATATTTAAAATAACAGTTATAATAATTGACTTTGTAATATGCTTTCTTCGGAGTCGCTTTTTGTTTCGGTAATCTAGCTTGAACAGTTTGCTAAGTAAAAAAAAATCAGCCAATTGAGATGCACTCAGATATTTTCATGAAAAAGTTATTTTTGAGTTTTGCGTTCAAACTTTCAAATTCCATGCCTTTCGAAAATTATGTTAGCAAAATAGAATGTCTACGTATTACTGTCATGCTGAGCAGATACATGTAATTTATGTAAATGTTACAAACGTAAAATGTTTCATTTGTTCAGTGAGCTACTCAATAACAATATTATAAAAATAATGCATTCGGCATATTCTGTGGTCACTACTGGCTCGAACCACCGACAAACTGTTACTAAACATACTGCATATATATATCACTTACATAGATGGTTTTCGAAAGAATGGATGATGTTGATATGGATATCAAACAGGCTAATAATATCAGGAATGTTCCAATCATAAACGTAACTGCCGTCAACAGAAAGAATGTTTCTGGTGTTTGGGTAATGTTATACTTCTGGTAGTAATAAGCCACCAAACCCACGGTGACAATGCCAAGTATCTGAAAAATGAGTCACTTTAATGTTTTATTCTAAATATTTTAATTCACAATTACGGATACATTCAAATTAGTTCTTCATGTCCAAACTTAAGCAATTCTCTGTAATACGAAACATTTTCATTAAAAAACGGCTGACAACTTAAAATGTATGGTACCCGCGGACTTGATAATTTGAGGTCGCTAGATTTCCTTGTGCGATTTTGGGTCAAGATCAACAATGCATTCTGACGCTAAATGTAGACATGTTCAATATGACCAAATCGGGCTCAATGCGTAAAATGATTTAATAATTAAAGTTGCCTTATTCTACTTTGGAAAAACGACCTTGTTCAAAACAGTTCAGTTATTGTATGTTTATTTTTATATTCAATATTCAAAACTCGGCAGGCAGAAAAAAATATACTTATTTCAAATTATTATTTCTAGGTTCTTCAGTTCTTCATGTACACAGACTGTTTTTACCAGTTGTATATTTTAACCGTGAAAAAATCCTAGAAGACTAACTTTTCATTGTGAATAAATTTATCATATAAATGCCTCAAAATAGAGACACTTGATAGAAGCTAAAGCTTCGAATTAAAAACAAAATGGTTTAATGCAGCTTGTCACATGATTGATTTTGGTAAGTTCAGGTAGGTATTTTTATAACAAACGTTCAAACAATCCAAATTTAGTGCTAAATTTTAACCCTCTGTCTACATGTGTACAATGGAAAATGTCATTGTCAACAAACAGTTATGCAAATTCAGATACAGGGCGGTAAAACACTACTCTAAAGTTTCCAAGTTTCTATAATATTATTGAAAACTTTAGCAACATGATTAAAATCAGTAATTTTTCAAATTAACGTAAATGCCGCCGACGTGTTTAATTTTATACTAAATTCAACATGATCAAATATAAAAAAGCGTAAAGACGAAGAAGCCAACAATGTGTACCCTCTTTGTCGGGGTAAAATAATTTATCAATATTAGTGACGCTGTTGGGAATACCACAAATATCGTATTTATGGTAAAATAAATGTAAGTGTCCGATCTTTTACCATTTTTTAATTAAAATATAAATTTGCAACGTTTGCCAGAGACCTCTGCCTGCGTTAATTATAGGCAACTCTATTTATATTCATTTTAGTACTAAATTGGACAAATTGAACTATTCTGGAAAACTCACCAATTCAGCAAATTTTAGAAGTCCTGGCCATGTTTTCAAATATCCAGTGTTTATAATAATGGCAGAGGTTGTGGTTGTTGTTGTTGTTCGGGTAACTGTTACACTGTGAGACATATTTGTTGGTCTGTAAATGTAAAAAAAAAATAATTGTTTACCAACAGTTATACATTTTCGACTAAAATCGGTGATTGAATTGCATTCAAACAGCGATTTAGAATAACGAGTTAACATTACCTTTTTGCAAAGCCAAATTTCTTATAGCCAAAATATTGGATAAGTTAAAGTTAAACATCTTAATAAAGTTAATTAAAATCGATAAATAGTTAATTAAAAACAAACACTCTGCCGAAGACGGTCCCAAGCCCGTTTTGAGAAAAGAGGAGGGTTGAGCGTGGGGCTAACGACTCAACCTCGTGAAAGTATGGGTTTTGAACAAGCAACAGATGCCTCGGCTCAGAGCGGATACAAGAATAACGCAAAGAACATATGAATATTGGAACATGGAACGTGCTCAGGTCCATCCAATAAATTAAAAAATTGAAATTAAACAATTAAAAACAAAAGCGATCAAATAAATTGAAATATAGAATATGGATATCACCGCTCTGCAAGAAATACGGTGGCCTGGATTGGGTCATACTGACGTTGGGAATTCAGTACTTTTCTATAGTGGAAATGATCAAAACGTCTCGATTTCGGAACAGGTTTTGCACTCAAGAAATCTCTGCTGAACTCAGTCTTAAGGTTTCAAATCAGACACATGGGGGCCTCACTCAAATAGTCAAGGTCAAACCAAGATTTTGATTGTCGTCAGCGCCACCTATCCGCTGCTTACAAGGCAACTTACTCATAAATGGCTGCTGATTTCAAAAATGCTGATTTGCATTTTTTGCGAGGCGTCGGTATCAGGAAAAGGCTTTGTTTCTTGCACAAGTTGTTTGCTTTCTGCGACCAATAATTTATTAAAACATGAGTTTTAGACCTTGGTGTGTGCCTATCAGTGCGTTGATATTTGTTCTAATCGGTAAGCTTTCGCATTATTTACATATTATTATATGTAATAGTAATGATGTATACATATATTTACTAGAATTATTTACATTTTGATTGCTACAAATTCAGTACAAATTCTGCAAGGGCCACACAGTTTCGAGTAAGTACATATTATCCTACTAATAATATATAATTCTTCAATGTAGTAACATATTTTTTTCTTTTTAGGGGTAAGGAGACTTAATTTGGAAGCAGTAGAAGTTACACAGCAGAAGCAGTTGTCGGCTCGCAACAAAATTTTGTATTAGGGCGTAAAGAATTTGGTACATCGCCAACAGCTAAGAAACCTATATATAATTATGTTATCCATACACATACCTAAATATGTATCTGCATTAGTAATTGTACTAAATTAATGAATTTGTTTTGTTACTTTGAATTAGGTATTAGTTTAATTTCTGAATTTTTGATTCATAACATGATTTTGCTTCTTGAACAAATGTTGCTGGTTTCTATAGCAAACACTTTTCACAATATAATAGTAATTGGCGTTTCGCCTATTGATTTACTCCAATAAAAATGTGTAAATGTTTATAGAGTTTTTATTAATATATTTATTCAAGCACCTGTGGCTGCGCCGAAATACACTGCACGACGGCGCCAAAAGTCAAAAGGCGCCTCGGCGGTATTATCATTTAAAAATGTTTTCAGAACTCCTCGTACGACATGTGGTTCTTCAAAGCCCACATTCATCCCGGCGAAACAATATTGTTGAAAGCCGTACGCCCACTGAATCGACTGCTTTCTGCTAGTTCGATTTCCTCACGTTCTTCGATCGATCGCTCAATTATCCGGCTCCTCGCGGAAAAAGTAACTTGTTCTATATTTAGCGTTTAGTTCCAAAATTCGATGAAAAATAATACCTGATTAGAATTTTGTTTAAATATTTTACACACATTAAAATAATCTAGATGGTGCAGATACTTATTATTGCGTCATTTGCTAGTTCTGTCACTATTACGGCGGAGTATCTTCACTTTGCTTACCTTGTAGATAATCCTTTTACTAACATTTTTTCTCAGTGGTGTTTGCTGCGGAAAATCGTTGTTCTATCAATTTTCACTCACGTAGAGTTTACCTATTTTGGGGCCATTTAAGCCATTTAATCCACTTCTTGTTCGATTTCGTATTTTTGGAAGTTTCATATCTGTGTAACTAGTCATTCTGGGTTAGTTTGGGTTCCCACTTTCTTATGGCCACATGGGAAAATTACCTTTCTAGCTTGGGCACTGTAATAATAGCACAGTTTTGGAAAATTATATTATTTTACTGAAAAGAAAAGAAAATTCTAGGCCAAACTAACCTAAAATTATTAGTTATAGAAATTAAACTACCAAAATCGAACAAAAAGTTGATTAAATGGATTAAATGGCCTCGAAATTGGTCGACTTTAAATGAGCAAAAAATGATATAAAATCGATTTTCCGCGGCAAACACACTAAAAGAAGTGCTAGGAAAAGGGTTATTTACAAGGTAAGAGAAGTGAAAATACTCCACCGTAATCGTGACATAAGTAGAAAATTATCATTATTTCTATTAGAAATCTATGTCGGTCTAATAAATAAATGATTTTTAATTTTAACTTCATTTTTTAATTTAATTACCCAATTTTTTGAGAAACCCGCTGTAGCTCCTACAAATCTTCCAGGCAGTACTGAGGATAATCGTAGTGGTCCGTCAACTGCAATGAGAGTAGATGAAAGCGTAGGTCATCAAGTCGATCCAGATTTTATTTCGTTACCTTCATACTGCAATAAGCAAGCGGAAGATGGTCAGACGGAATGCGGTGCAACCGAGCAGCATAAAGAAAAGTGCCTCTGGAGAAGAGATTAATTCAGATAGGGTACCAGAAATAGTGAAATAGAAAACCCAATTCTAAGAATCCGGAATTATGGCCTGGTCCATTATCTCCATCCCAAGTTAAAGAATTTGTTGTAAAAGATTCTGCATATTACCAAAACAGGGATCATCATGGTCCAAAGGACAAAACGGGGCAAAAGTTTCCCGATTTTTATTTTACACGAATTTTACCAAATAATGAAAAAGTTCCACGAGAGTGGTTATTATATTCTGCCGAGAAAAATGTTATTTATTTTGAACACTAAAACCCTTAACAGAGACTAGATGGTCTAGCCGAATTGATGCAATTAGTCCTCTAAGGTTTCAATTGGGAGAAATATATGCTACTCTCTACGAAATATTATCTGGAAATAATTTTTACAATTCTGCGAAACATCTGGCTCCATCTTTAGTAAGAAAGATAAAAAAATTTCAGTTTATTTGCATGTTAGTACAGTGGTACAACATATTAAATTGAGTTAATGTTGTTAGTAAAATTTTGCAAACAAAAAGTTTAACATGCCTATGGCTATTAACCACGAATTCTAAGTTTAATTTTTACTAACCATGTAATAAATATATAGTTTTTATTTAATTGGCTTTTTGTCATAAAATTTAGAAAAAATATAGAACATAGTACCTAAACTCTGTCCAAACTCGCACGACGACGCCAGACCGGCTTGGCGCGGCCCTGATTAGGAGTATGTTTATGTTCAATTTGATATATTACAAATATAGCGAACTGAATGTATGTAGTATGTTTTAATCTCAATTGTAGTACTGGCTCGCCGACAATATCAAATCCTGGAATGCACAGTAGTAAGGACGCAAACCCAGCAATGACCACAGAACATTAGAGAGTTGACGTTAGAGAGTTGGCAGCAGCTAATAGATGGCCACAGTGTCAGTAAAAAACCTTGTTATCATTTTGTGCAAGTGAGTGGGCTATCTATAGTTGTCTTCAACTATGATCAGACACTACAAACATCGCGATCGTGTTCTTTATCAAGAAATCTTCTAAGTCCTAAACTACATAACAGTCTCTTCCTCCACTCGTATTATTTAATAGATAATAAGTGATTTTAATAAATTAATAACAATGTATTAAGTGTTTAATTTTAAACAAAATAAAATAAACGTGTTGTCGAACTAAACCGTTCGGGTTCCCAACAATATCTAGTATCTACTTTAGTTTTCGTACATTTCAGTGGTAATTATATTTGCACTAACTAACTAATAAGGCCAATTTATAAATTACCCACTATACACATGTATAAATTAAAACACCGCACAAATAAATTGTCTCATTTGATTCAGTATAAATATAAATAATATTTACAGTATACGTACTTTCCTGACTGTGTTTCAATTCCAAAATTAAAATCAAATCCTGGGTTCTTCAGTCATTTATTGTTCATTTATCAATTTAAAAAAACGTTTCGGTGTTTTCCACCATCATCAGTTTTACTAAAATAACAGGTAGTAAAAAAAAAAAAAAAAAATTTTAAATGTTCTCATTAATCTAAAAAACAATAACAGTTTGTCAATAGCTTGTTATATCACACACTAAAATACATTACAATTGCAACACTTTAAAATATTCTGAGATTAATTGGTCTTAACAGGTGATCAGCTAGGACAATCAATTCTGGGAAGAGACTAGAATTATTTGTTCAAATATTCAATTATTTTTACTTACATGTGTAGCGTTGTTGCTACTTTACGCCTTGGCATGTATTTGGAGTATTAATTTTGTCCATTTTGCA